TGATGGAGATAGTGATCAATATCAAAATGATCATCATGGTGTAGATGTGATGGATGGTTCAGTTGATGAAGTTGTGGTTGATCAGCAACCAATTCCTGCACAGGTAACTACTTCGAATGCTCCTGAAACCTCTCTTATAAGATCTACAAGGGAGAAGCAACAATCCATGCGCTATCCCCCTGATGAGTATGTACTTTTGACTGACATGGGAGAACCTGAGAGTTATGATAAAGCCATGCAAGATACTCACAAAGATCAGTGAATTGAAGTGATGGAAGATGAGATGAAGTCACTCTATGAGAATGGCACATATGAGTTAGTGAAATTGCAGAAAGGTAAGAGAGATTTATCTAACAAATGGATATTCAGAATAAAGCAAAATAACCATACCTCTGCGCCTAGATACAAGGGGAGGTTAGTTGTTAAAGGTTTTGGCCAGAAGAAGGGAGTTGACTTTGATGAAATTTTCTCCCCTGTTGTGAAGATGTCTTCTATTCGTGTGGTTCTAGGCTTACCTGCAAGTCTAGATTTAGAGGTTGAGCAGATGGATGTCAAGACAAATTTTCTTCATGGTGATTTAAATGATGAGATTTATATGGAGCAGCCTGAGGACTTCATAGGTGAAGCTTGCAGATAAGCATGCGTTTTGCAGAAAATTGGCAGACATGAAGCCTGTCAATAGTTCCTCTACTTGAAGACATATTTGGCGCCTTGGCTGGAGGGGGAGTTTGTTGGGCACATGCCCATGTTGTCCAGCCAAAGGCCCAACGGCCTAATCCTATTCTCTTTTGGTTTCCATTCCTATTTGGAATTGGATTCGGTGTTTATTCCTATTTTGAGTGGGTTTTGGCTTTAAGAGAAAGCACCACTCATGATTTATAAATAGGACAACCTTGGAGAATTATTCTATGCTCATTGATACAAGTATTTGAAAGACTTAAGCACATAAGAGTGGTTTTTGAGAGAGCTTTCATCAATAGAGAAGAGAGAAGAAAAGTATTTGTTTTGCTGCAGTTTTTTATTCCGAACGGCCAACTTCAAATCACGTTTTCCGATTCGTTAACCGTTGGATCGGGCTGAAATTTTGACCGAGTGTTCGTAACATCTTGGTCTTGTATTTGATCGGTGAAGATCGGATTTGGAGGCTTGTAGCATCTGATTTCGAGCCTCGAACAACAGCTTCGTTTTTGTGAATTATACTCTTTCTTCAATTGATTAGTTGTTGCCTTGTTACTATTGTTGCTCCGTTTTTGACACTTGTTGTATAGCCAATTTGGAAAACTTTTGTAACCCTCTTATTGTTATAGTGGAGCTTTTTGGATCTTTGTGATCCCGTGGTATTTACCTTCGATTTAAAGAATTTTTCACGTTAAAATAGTTTTCTTTATCTTCTTTATTTTTGAGTTTGTCTCTTTCTCGACATAACACTTATGTCCAAACGCCCACTAAACAATGTCCACAGTGGGATTGGTGCATTAGTAATTCTTTGTTTTATTAGAGAGTATATCTCTGAAACACTGCAACAGAGAGATTTGCTGACCATGACCTTACAGGCTTTCAGTGTACACTCAGGTCCCTGACTATATTTGTCTTGTGTTTTTATGCCCGCCAAATTTCATCTTAATTTTTCAAAAACTTATAAAAGAATAATTAAGGTGGCATTTGAACAATTTTTAGTGTATTTTTGAACAATTTTTCCGAAGAAAATGTTTTCTATTTTTACCATGTGGCTGTGACTATTAAAATTACAATGTGTAATTATGTGTCAATTACATGCACTATAGTGAAAATATTCGAAAAAATTTATATCTATTCGCTCCTTAAAGATCAACATGAACGAGAATTTCATTAATCGAGTTGAAATATGTCAAATATGATAGGAAAGGGTAACGATGAATATTTTTTGTTGTCAACTTATGATGGATGACAAAATTAAGTCAAAGATAAATAATTCAAAGGCACATTTGGGTCTTTTGTCATTTTCATTTCAATGAATAACATTGATATGCTCTACTTTTGTGCTAGTCGTACTTAGTTCACTATATCTGTATTGTTCTAATTCTAAAAATACCTCCATAATCCTCTTACGCGATAAATAATCTATATTTATATCTATATTACTATATTAGAAGCACGAATGCCCTTAGTGAAATATCGTTCGCTTTTTTTACCCTTCAAAAATTAAGTTAAAATTGAACAAAATTGTAATTTAGGTTATTTTGGATAGTACAATCAACTAGTAAAATTTTGATTATTAATTTTACCTTATTGAAATTGAACTAGGTAGAAAGTCCTAATATGAAATATTCTCTTTTCTATTGTTTGGCCCGTGTAAAGTGTCGAATATACAGGTATTTGAAGTAAACTAATATTGGAACTATTTGAAAGACGTTCCAATATAGACACGTTGATGATTCCAACCAAAAAAAAAACGTTGATGATCTTAAGAATATGCTAAGTTAATATAGCATAGATAAATATAAATTTTTTAGAGTTAGGTTATATTACTATATAAACTAATTATAATTATAATTGAATTTATTTTTTAATATACATGACTTTAAAATCTATTACCTTACGTAAATTCTTTCCTTATTTGAATTTTCTGCTATAACTAAATTAGAACATTGAAATCAACTAATATTTTATTTTTTATGTCCTTCCCTATTGAACTACTACCATATACGCAATTATTGTATTTATTTTTTATTTTTGTCAGAAATTGTTAAAAGTATTATGTTATCTAAAACTAAATGTTACATTAAAAAGTTGTATTTTTTTTTTGAATATTTAAGATTTGAAAGTCAACTAAAGGTTTGATTATTAAATTACTTTTCTAAAATTTAGGATTTCTTTTTGAACCTTTCTGATTTTTTCAATTTATTTTAAACACGTAAGGAATCGTTATGCAAGTTTTAGATTTAGGTCTTTGTTCTAAATGAATCAACCGAACTAATCTGACTTATGCAAACCACTAATACTAATACAGATCTTTAATAAAGAATATCACAACACAATTTCTCTAGGATTCACCAAAGCACTTCAATTTTAAATCTTTTTAGTTAAGTATATTTGTTCAATTAAAGTACTAATATTAAACATATATATATATATATATATATATATATATATATATATATATATATATATATATATATATATCACTATTTCTTCTTTAGTATTCTTGCGTATGATGTGTAATTGAAGCTTTGAATAAACTATAATTGAGATTGAAAGCATATCATATTTTTATTTCTAATTCCTTTTTATGAATATTATCTTCTCAATTCTTATAATATTAATATTTTTATTATACAATTTGTAGTATAATATTTATGAGATTTCTTTTAGAAAATTATCTTACTTAAACAAGTCACACGCGCAACGCGCCCCCCAAAAACTAATAGATGAATAAATGCCAACGAAGTTCTTTCGATCATTCATTTCATTCGCACAACAATTAACATGCAAAATACGTGAGTAATATAACATGTCGAAATTAATGAAACCAGATACATTTGCCGTCAATTAAATACTTTATAATAACTAGAATTAGGAGAATTTAGACACGGATAGTGTGTATCAATAAGTAGGTTAAAAAGGGAAAATATTTAATAAGTGAAAAAAAAAAGATGAAGAGAACCAATTACATGTATGCAAAAAAGAAAGGCAGGGGAGATTTATTTAAAATAATAATGACTTACCAATGAACGCCCGAGAAAAAGGGAAAAATAGTTAGATTCTATCCATTTGTGATGCAAGATGTTCTTGCACATAATGTAATTAGCTGATTAAGCTGATTTATACTGTTATCCAGGACTACTAATTTATGTTTAGCATAAATATATTTAGCTACAATTGACTTTTAAGAGAAAAAAATTTATCTCCCATTTTATTGATTTATTGAAGGAAAGGAAAATCTGCAAATAATAAAAAATAAAATAAATGCAAAAGGACTTAAGTTTAATTTTACATTTGAATAATACCACAATTTCAATCTCCATAGTAAAATTCTTAATTTCGTTTTTTTTTTCCGGAAGAAGAAATACGGGAGGGGATGACTAGGTGAGCAATAGAATCCTCATAAATAAAATGAAAATTAAGGTAGCTAATCAACTCTGCTACAAAAATTCTTTAGGCCCTACTTGTCCATAAATATTTTTCAAATAAAATACATATTTAATATTATTTTAAAATTTAAATACGGAGTATTATTTTTTAACTTAAATTTAAATACTATTTTTTAAAATTATAATTTTTATGTCAAACGCCCGCTTAAACTCAACTTTTAAATGGCCTAGTGACGTTTGGTTAAAAACGAGTAAATTCTTTTAACCTAATGCTATGTTAGACAAAAGTCTCCCGAATTTTTTTCTTGTCTATTGACATTTGGCTGAAAAAATTGGTACAATGGTCAGTTTTTGTTTAAATAAACACCACCTAATTAATTTAATTATGTAATATTTATATAATTTATAGAAGATACGAAAATATTATATTGTCAAAATAGAAAAAGCAAAGTACATGGACCCAATTCCATGAGTTTGCTTACATGCAAAGCATGAAGTGCCACATGGGAGTGGATGAGAAACAATTGTCATCATCCACCCCCATCTTTAACCTATCACAAAGGCGTCTACACGTTGTCATTACGATGTTAATCCTTCTCATTAGGCCAAATTAATTAACTAGTACTTAGTATTTATTTCCCAATTAAATTAAATAAATTTGCACTATTTAATTCAACTTCCATAGTGGGACCCATCACCGGCTCACATGCAAGCCGTGCAACTACTGTCAGATTGCGGACCCACTAAAAATCCCTCCACTCGTCGACCGAGCCCACTCACGCCCCACTCCTCTTACCTGGCTACAACTCCCGCACCCAAAAAATAGCCCTGGCGCGTGTCTCCACTCTCTATCGCCGCAAGTGAACATAAAATCTACTCCCCAACACCTAGGGTTTGAAATTTTTTTCGTTATAAAGACTTGCTGCCTCCATTTCTCTCTCTCGATCTATTTTTCATTCTCTCTGTATCACTGTTGCTCTGTATAATTATACCTTCAAAAACCAGCAAACTCTTTTTTACTTATTGCTCTTTTCCTCCTTTTCGTTTATAAATACTAAAGTTGCTTAGTTATTCTGTGGGATTTGAAGATGGAGAAAGATTTTGATGATTGTGAGTTTTGGCTTCCGCCTCAGTTCCTTACTGACGATGACCTTCTGATGGATTTTAAGACCCACTCTTGTGTTGGTGAAAGCGGTAAGGATGGGAATAATCCGTTTTCTCATGGGTTTAACCCGTTTGGTTCTCACTCGGATCTGAGTTCGCCCGTTGAGTCTGTCGTCGGGTCAACAGAAACTGAGAGTGATGAAGATGATTATATCACTGGGTTAACTAGAAAACTGGCTCACTCAACTCTGCAGGAAAACACTAAGGTATTTTTTATCGTGTATTTTATTAGTCTTTTCACTTTTTTACTGTTTTGATTTGTTCTGGACTAATTTGTTTTTTCTGTTTTTTTCCCCTTAGGGTTGGGGTTTGTCACGTTCCCCACAGTCGACGTTATGCGGTTGCAAACAGGGGTCAAGTCGTGGAAGCCCAAACGGGCCGTCACAGGCATCTTCGCCGCCGCGAATGGCCAGGCCAGAGGTGTCTATGGATCTGCTTTATGCGGCCGCCGGAGAAGTGGCGAGGATTAGAATGATGGAGGAGTCAACTGCACTGTACAACCATAACAAAGCTGGAGGTGGAATATGGGCTGCTCCTCCACGGAAGACAAGTCCATTACCTGTTGGTCCAAAAAATACCAAACCGAATCTCGCTTCATTTAACTCAAATCAGCCTCCACTTTCTTACCAGCAATTGCAAGTTGCTCAAGTAAGTGTTATACACTATGTTTTCTTAAATTTTTCAGTTTTTGTTTTGGGCGTTTGTTAATTTCAGCCTTGTAACTGCAGTTTCAGCGTTTGAAGCAACAACAAATGATGAAACAAGGTGGATATAGGCAGTTTCCATTGAACCAGAATCAACAACAAGTAGCCGAGAACAGGGCTAGAAATGGAGTAAAGGGGAGTTTAATGAACTTGCCAAATTCTGCTTGGCCTACTTTACAACAGTCTCAGTCTCAGCAGCAGCAGCCTAATGCTGGTTCAGGCATGCGCGCTGTTTTCCTTGGAAATCCTGGCCCTAAACGGGAATGTGCTGGAACTGGTGTCTTTTTGCCTAGAAGAATTGGTACACAAACTGAAACCAGAAAAAAACCAGGTAATTTTTTACTTCCCCTGTTACAGTTTAATCCGTAGATTCAGCTTTCTAGGTATATTATAATTCATTTTTAGTTACCCAAGAGAAGATTTGGACCTTTTTGGTTGTATGAACGGTTTCAAGTAATTATAGTTTAATTTCTTGATAAGTATTACTATGATCTGGTAAAGCATGTTAATAGTGTAAAAAATTAGTTTATATAACTTAAACCCATAAAAATATTGGTCTGTTATTTCTTATCTCTTTGAACCACATGTTATTTTTTTTCTTTTTTGGTGTCGGTTTGTTCTGTTTATCTGATGCTTCAATTTGTTTGGTGTGAATTCAGGTTGTCCAGTTATATTGCCAGACAGGGTGGTCCAAGCCTTGAATTTGAATTTAGAAGCTATGGATGCTGCTACTAGGCCACAGTCTAATTTCACTCCAGCTACTGGTAATATTTATTTCTTAATCCTACCCTAATTACAGTCCAATTTATTTTTAATTTTGGGAAAATTATCTGATTTGTGTTTTTTTGTGGTTCAGATGGTGGATTGAAATACCGAAATAATATGGCGGCAGCTCAACAGAGGAGAAATCAGAGAATACAGCCAGTGTCAATGGCCCAAGAACTTCAACTTCCTCAGGAGTGGACTTACTGACGCAGAAAATGATATTAGTGTTTTTTTGAAGTCTTATTGAAGCAGAAAAGTGATTTGTTTGTTTGTTTTTTTGGTACTGAAGATTTGAACAAGTATAGGGTAGTTAGTTTCAGAAGGAAGACGATGACGAAGATGTTTTTAGCAGTCAAACAAAATAGGGACTTTTTTGGTTGGGGTTAGTATATTAGGGTTTAAGGGAAAATAAGATATTGAAAGGTTCAAAGATTCAAGAAAAAAGTATTGGCGGATATGAGATTTTTCTTTGGTTGGTTTTTAGATTAGGTAATACTAGTAAGGAAAAATAAGTCTCTAAAATAGTTTTTTTTTTTGCTAAGAGATGGTGAAAAAGGGTTGGGCTCATGTTTTGGTTGGAATTACAACCCTTTCTATTCTCATATTTTATTGTCAGTGTATGAATAGCTGTCCATGGCATATGGTCAGTTATAATTAATCAATAATTATACCCATTATTTATTATATTTAATTGCAATCCAAAATTTAAATTGCTTTTTGTTCTTTAATTTTTCTTTTTGAATCTTTAGTTTTTTGTTCTAAGTGGAAGTTAGAGCAACGGTGAACTTGTTGCTGTACGGCTTATTCACTTGTTCATGCTGTAAAATTAGCCACTAAGGCTTGCATCAAATAGGTTGTGTTATACTCTTGGGTGCGGTGTTTCTCCAAACTCTACATTCCCTAAATATTTTGTACATGGCATATTTTTTTTTTTTTATAGTATTTCATCAATTTGTTGTGGTGATGGTCAAAGTACGAAAGGGGGGCCTAACATGCCTAAAGATCTATTTTCATGTTTCAGCACATGCTTTAGCACTCTGTCACTTTGACCATAGTAGTTGTCCATTAACTGGCTTTTCTTTTTTTGGTATCTCTTTCGATGTTTCATTGATTAAAGTATAGCTTTCTTTTAATATATATATTTTCAAATGATATTAATATATTATACAACTACTAGTATTGGAATAGTGCCAAGCACGAAACAATGGTTTAGTTGTGGAGAAATGTGCAATGCTTCGTTGATGTTGTCTGATGAATCTCAGAGTTCTTTTCTGGAAGCCAAGTTTGTACATTCGTCTTCGTCTTTTTCTTTCCCCAAGGTCTACTTTATTTTAATTCAATTTGTTTTTTTACACTATTTTATTGTATAGACTCTACAATGTTAATTAGGTTTAGTTCTGTACTCTATATTAGTGACAGGTAAAATCGTTAGGACCCTTTTACTACTAAACAAGACTTCATTCTTAGTACTTGAAGTTAAAGCGAATAAACTCGAATTCAAGTCTTTGATTAAGGATGAAGAACTTGTATTATTTCATTATACCACCCTGGGTGGTGTTAAGAAATTTCAAAGTGATTTCACATTGGTAAAGGCTAAAGCTTTTCGTTTAGTTTAACACTAAATTAATATATGCAAGATACATACATTTCATTCGATTTCCAACTATTAAATTTATATTTTTTAATTTGGTAAAACATTCAACACACATAAAACATTTACCTAAGTCTTAGTGAGTGCACAACTCTTTCGTTAAAAGAATGTCGGATCTGTGTTACAATACAGATGTATTTATGTGCCTACATTCCTTCTATATACACTATACTTGGTTTTGCTTAGAGGGAAAGTTATTTTGAGGTTGGGGGTGTACATGAGCTGTCAATGAAGGGAAAAAAGGAAAAAAAAAGAACGCGTTGATGGAATTTTATTTAGGAAAAAAGATTTTCATGTGCCCCCTTGACCCACAAACAGTAAACAAATTGACCCCAGATTCATTTATTATCTTTGTTTGGAGGGTACTATCACGCGTTTTATTTGTAAAATATTTAATGAAATCTACAATTGGATTTGCCCTAAGTTCATAATGTTGAGGAATTGCGGGGGTATGGTCCACGACAACATCACACATTTCTTCAGTTGGAGAGTTTCATGATAATGGCCTGACAACATTTCTATTTTCCTCAATGGCCCCATTGCCTTTAAGTTTTTTAGTAACATTTAAGTTATACGACTATACATAGACGCTATAATTTTTTTAATGTTATAGCTAAGACTTCTAAATAATCGTTATTCGCTAGAAGCAACCACCTTTGAAAGAGTTCAATAACTTACTAATTGAGAACTTGTCGAGCTTGTATTACCGCCGTCTTTGTGATAAAAAAGAGGATAAAAAAAATGGTAATCCCAATGGATGGGGTGAGAAAACCAATTTATAAAGGTTATCATTTAATCCGATACGTCCATCAAGTAACCGACCGGACGGACGAGATTTTTCATAATTAAATATTAATTAAGGTCATTAAGTTTATTGGGTCACATACATAATTAAGAAAAATCTAACAATATGATATCAAAATAAGTAGATATCTTGTTTTATGTCTCGCCATTTGGGTGGAGAAATATTTTTACAGGCTAGCGCTAAAGCAAAAAAAAAAAATGCAGCCTCGCACGAAATGGAACATATTGAAGACCCTTCTATAAAATATAATTAATTTTAATTTATCTACCCCTAAACTGGGTAAGAGTTTAATTAGAGATGTCAACCTCAATCTCAGACGACTGCCGCCTTCTGTGTAAGTGGGCAACAATTTTTTAGTGCTTGGACTAAATCATGCTAAGTACTGATATATATTCCCCTAACAAATATGAGTTGATATTTTGTACACTTGGTTTTGTTTCTTTTCTGCCGCTTTCTCACTCCTTTTGAACTTTACTCTAATGTCATGTTGCAAACTATCTAGTTAGAAAGTTCTAATGCGAAAACAAAGCAATTCAGTGAAGCTAATGTGAATCATAATAAGATATTGGGAAATAACAGTTGTGTTTGGGAAACTAGAGTGCTCATCGACTAATAATTATTATTGGGGTATTTGCATATATACTGAATCTTGGGATTATCATTGAAGTTATATCCGTATTGCACAAAAATTTATAAGTTTATCCGCTTTAGGATTAACTTTAGACCTAGCGGGTCTCAAGTTGAAAAATTTCTTGAAGTTGCTAACATAAGATGTACTTAAGACTGTTTTATTCTAAAGTGCGGCTAGTTTTTGCATGGACATAAGACTTTTTTAGTTTGAAGTGCAAAATACACTTAAAACTTAATTGGTCAGAAGTGCAGCTAATTTTTGCATGCCATTAAGACTTTTTAGTGTGAAGGGTAAATTGTCCAAAAATAGAAACTTGTTGATGTTTTAACTTCAATACCACACAAGAGGGGAGTGATTTGTGTGGTGTCCAATTTTTCGCTTAAACTGATTATAGAAGGACATGGTTCTTCTAAGTGTTCCTTAATCTAGTATTGGAGAAATAGTAAATGCGGAAAGTAAAGAACACAAGTATTTTACGTGGAAAACACCTGGCTCAAAAGGTGAAAAAACCACGACCTACTTCCCAGTAGAATTTTCCCAAACTCTCCACTAAATCACTGAGCCAGAAAACTGCATTTACAAAATACTTTTGTAAACCTAGGATTAACTCTAATCCCGTTGTGGCAAACAACCTCTAACTGTTGCGACAACTTCAAGTTAACTCTAACTTGAATACTCCGAGTACCTATTACAATTGCCTCTAGATAAAGCTGAAAGGTACAATACGAAAACACCTACTACAATTGAACTAGAATAAAAGACAGACACTTGGAACTGGTTCTTCTATCTGGTTCATGTAGCTTCAGGTTTGCACACTTGAATCACACACGAACTGCTTGCAAAATGCCTTGCTATTTTGCTCTAAATTCCCGTTTAACTTCTGCGTTTGTGCATACCTGTAAAATAAGAACATCCTGCAATATATAAAGTTAGTAGATTAAGAAATAACTAGAGTTCTAATGCCGCTCTTCTGTGGTGGAAGAGTTCTAGTTGATCTCAACTTCTAACTCATTCCTTATCTTGGACAATGTTCTCTTTGAGTAAGGAGCCCTTCTCCTTATCAACTATGCATCCTTTTCGATCAGGAGATATCAAATATGCCAAGTTAAGCTTATCTCCTTCACGTGCATCCCACATGCTTGAATCTGCTCGTTTCTATGCACCACAAGGGATGGACTTGGTTCATGCCCGAGCTTCCTTTGTCAATCGTCAAAACTAACCTTCACTTGGGCCAACAAATTCCTCCTTTTTGATTATGACAAACTATGTGCTTTTCATAAGCTTAGGCCCTGTTTAAACTTAGCTCAACATCAACACAATGTTAGAAACATTTTTTCTTTTTATCACTTATCATCAAGGACCAGGTACATTAGGTTACAAACATCACTGTTCAAAGTATAAAGCACAATCCTTTTTTCCCCTTTTGGCATCATCTAAAAGTTGCATAAAAAATGTGAGATAACCAGATTTTAAACTTACTCATGGCCACTGGGGCTACTTCAAATGCAAACATGGATCAATCATCATAGATCAACCTAAGCATTTCAACCATCAAAGAAATATAAACAAACAGTTAGAGCAAAAACCAGCAGATTTCTTTGATACTTGATATGATTCTTCCACAAAGCATAGAAGGAATAAAAATACTAAAAACATGAGCAAACAGAAAACATCCCAAACTGGGTCACTGAAGGAACTACACTAGGCTAGGAGCTTAAGGCTTGGAAGAATTAGGTGCTTAGTTTTTGGCTTGGAGAAGTTTCAGCATGTCTTGAAGAATGCCATCATTCTTCTCCTTTTCTCTTGCTAGCTCAGTTCTGAGAGCATCTCTCTCAGTCTCCACCTCAGCCAACCTTTTCTTCAGCCTCTCAATCCCAACATCCTTTACCCCACTCTCCTGTACCAAGGCTCTGACCTTGCTATTGACTGGTGCCTTCTTGGATGAACCAGGTTCATTAGGAGTGGTATGGACCTCATAGTCACAAGCAATCAGAGTTTTTGCCCCAAAGTGAACTTTATTTGTAGCCACCTTTAAAATGTGCTAGCACAGCTGTGAGAATGAAGCCATAGAAAATTGCATGAAAATTGGTGCCATTGATAACCGTATCAAGAAGCTGGATTATAAATCCAGGCCAATTAATCTGCTTCCCACTATCCAAACACTCCATAAGTTCCAAGTCCATGAAGTTTGCAATGTGCTTCCTTTCCTGCCTTTGGCAGAACACATTTGATGACAAATTCGAACAACACTTTATGGGACGGCTTCATCTCACTCTTGTACCCAGCCTTGGGCTCTAGTTCCTCCTCATTGTCACTGAATTTTCTGGTGATGAACAAGGCTATAGGAAGGTTTTCCAGGCTTGGCCACTTAAGCTTTGTGTAGTCATTGTACCCCTCAGCAGGTACACCTAGAATTTTACCTAGCTCCTTTACGTTGAAAGAGATTTGCACTCCTTTCACCAGGCTGGTAACTCGTTCATCCTTCACTGCAACATTTGCCATAAATTTAACAGTTTCACTCCTTCCCAACCTGCCATCCAACTGAAGGACCATGTCCTTCCTGCCTTGCAATTCCAATTTCTCCAACACCAGCACCATCCCTTC